ACGTTAAACCATTCATTCTCGTAGGAGGAAATGTTGGCTCATTTGAAACTTCCTTTTTTAATTCAGATTGCCTTGTAATGATGCAACTCATGAAAAGCACAGTCAGTGTTATGTAGTGGAAAAATAAGAGTGTTTACAGCCGGAAACTTGTCTCTCACGTTTGCTCCCAAATCTCATAGTTTGGAAGCCACTGTTTGCTTCTATATTCTGAGTTCCTCAGAGAAGGCAGGGCTTACGTGTTGGAGTTGGGGTCATAGAAGCTGCTACTGAACTCCTAAAATAATGTGTCAGCTGCAACCATGTACACATCAGGAAGGGTACAACAGCTGTACACGAATATTCCTTTGTTGGGCACGGGGAAATGTTAGCAGAAACTCTAGTATGTGACGATTCCCTAATCCTCATCCAGGGCCTGCCTTTGAGTGGGTGGAACACATTGCCGGCTACCTACAAGGCATGACTGAGGGCACACCAGACAGGGTGCTTCATCCAAAAAGACCTACTCAGCCGGCTCTTAGTCCAACATTATTGAGCTTAACTCTGGGTCTTGAAAGCTACCACAATTGCTTTAAAACACATCTTTCGAAAAGTGGAAAGAAATCTACTTAGGAGAACAGAAAACTCATTAAACCAAGTGAGTTGCTGTTGAAAATGAGATTTTAGATTATGATTTACTCTGTGGCTGTTGTTAAAATTATTTCTTTGATCTGAGTCATATTGCATTTTTGGCCATCAGTGTGTTTATAGGCAAACTTCTCACATATATCTCTGGGTGCTTTGTTTTAACTACTTCGGACATTAACAATGAAACAAACTTTTAAACAAGATTATGAAAATGTATTAAATATAGGGGGGATATCTATGGCATTAAACACAGTGAACAGATTTTATTTTCTCTCAAAGTTCTTAGAACTATTTATAGTTTATAAACATAGTGATCTTATAAACTTACAACATCAATTTGTAGTTTACAGAATTCTGAGCATCCGAAATAGATCAGTTAGTGTGACTGTCTTTAGGCAGAGCTCTCCTCCGAGGTACTTGACTGACTGTTTTGCTGATTTTTCTGTGCTTCCTCCTGGACACTAAAAGTATTCTCTGACATCTTAGATACTTATCCATTTGTTTAACAAATCATCTGTTGGATACCCACTGTGTTCCGGGCACTGTGCTTGTGCCTGATGAATAAGACAAGATGAATAAGACAATGACCTTCCCAGTGCTAGTAGGAGACCATTACAGCATAATGATACACAAATGCTTGAGGTTCCAAGAAATCTCATGGGAAGGAACATCTGGGAATACCAGGGAAGATCTTCCCAAGGAGGGAACACTTATCAGAGAAAGATACACCTACCATCTTGATTGAGAAAGGAAGAAAGTAGGTGACTGGTGGAGCCCTGGGCTTCTTGCTGCAGGTCCTCTAGCCCAGCCTGAGAGGTTCTGGGAAGGTGCTTGGAGGGAAGTATGGAATAGGAGAGCCTTCCAGGAAGGCAGACGGGAGGGCCAGGGCACAAAGGTGACTGCATCATTGACTCAGGGAACTACACGTAGTTCAGAAATGCTGGGAGACAGGATTTATGAGGGAAGTTGATGAGGGGGGCGTGGTGGGATAGAGACTTGGCAATGACAGCAGTAGCCAGTGCTGATTGAGTTCTCACCTTGCGCCATTCACCATTCTACCCGGAGCAGGTGTTAGCTCATTTAATCCTCGTAAAATTCTATACAGTAGTTACTATTATTACCTCCATTTTGCAGAAGAGGATATTGTGGTAACATTGAAATACATCCACAAATGATTTGATACTCTTTCATTTAAGAAGTAGACCCTCACTCCTCTCCCCTTGAGTGTGTGTTGGTTAATGACTTTCTTCTGCCCTAATGATATGGCAGAAGATCATTTGTGACTCCTGAGACTAAGTCATAGAGGCGTTATGGCCTCCTTGCTCTCTCTCGGATCTTTCACGCTGGAGGAATGAATGAATGCCATATGATGAGGACACTGACGCAGCCCCATGCAGAAGCCCACAGGGCAAGGAATTGAGCCTCCTGCCAACAGCCATCATGGAATCGGAACCGCCTGCCATCTGCCAGGCGAGGGAGCTATCTCGGAAAGATCTGCTCACCCCAATCAAGCCTTCAGGTGACTGCAGTCCCAGCCGCCTTGACTGCAACCTCATGAGAAATCCTGAGCCAAAACTACCTTGCTAAGCTGCTCCCACATTCCTAACCCCCTAAGACCTCTCAGACGATGTGTTGCTGTTTTAAGCTACTAAGTTTTTTTAAAAAAATATATTTTATTTTTTACAGAGAGGAAGGGAGAGGGACAGAGAGTTAGAAATATCGATCAGCTGCCTCCTGCACACCCACTACTGGGGATGTGCCGCAACCAAGGTACATGCCCTTGACCGGAATCGAACCTGGGACCCTTCAGTCCACAGGCCGACGCTCTATCCACTGAGCCAAACCAGTTACGGCACAAGCTACTAAGTTTTGAGGGAATTTGTTATGTAGCACTAGATAACTAATACAAAAAATGAGGCATCAACATATTAAGTAACTTTTCCAAGGTCTTGTAATTCATGAATTAAGAATTTGAAATTTGAACCCAAGCATTCAAATTCCTGAGTCTCTGCAGCTAAACGATACTGTTCTGCCTTGAAAAGTCAGTGGGGCCTGTCTGTGGAGATCCAGTGCTTCTATTACACTTTCACACACACATTCTCTCCCCCGCACCCCCCATCCCACCTTCTCCCTCTTTTTCTGTCCTTAATCCTGACAGTGATAGGGAACTACTGAAAGCAATTGCATTTTAGAAAGGTTCTTTGGTATAGAGGCCAGAGCATAAGGGCTACAACTGGAATTAGGAAGAACAGTGTCAGACAATGGAAATAATCCAGACAGTGTTAGGTTGCCCTGAACTAAGACAGGGGCTAAAAGGATTAGACAGGTTCAAGAATTACTTAGTGAGTGGGCTTGAAAGACTCCCAGGTGGTTGACTAGATGTTTGTGGTGCTGGGCAGGAGGAGTAACGAAGGACCTTCCGAAGTGGGTAGGTCAGGGTGTGAGGGTGGAGAGGGGGATGCTGGCAGCTGGTGGGAGAGTAGGGGAGGGTCATGATGAGTCCTGCCTTGGCCATGGTGCATTTGAGATTTCTTCTAGACATTTAAGAGATATCTGAGAGGTGGGGTGCTGGCAGCACTGGACTGGCATTGCAGAGGAGAGGTCTTAACTGAAGTGGGGACTTGGGAGTCATCACCCATGCTGAAGTGATGGTGTGGACACTGTGCCCTGGGAGAGTGTGGAATGAGAGGAGGGGAGGTCTCTCCAAGGAGGCGTGGTCTAACCTTGACATAGAGTAGTAAGAACGAGAGAAGCCAGAGAAAGGAGAACCTGGGGAAAATGGCATCAGAAAAGTTGGGGGGGGAGAGTCTCGGGAAAGAGAGTGTTTAAATTAAAATGTCAAATATAGCCTCACTCTCTGCCAGATGCTCTTTCTGAGTGAGTGGAATCTGGTCACTGTGATTCCAGGCCTGCCACTGGGAAGAGCACCTGCAGGGTCCTTCCCACGGTCCTCTGAGGCTCCCAGAAGGCTCCCCCATGAAACTGCACATGTCAGGGGAGGGGGGAGGGGGAACTTGGAGGAAAGAAGATGAAGGGATTATCGGAAGAACTTCTATGCATAACCCATAGACACCGACAACAGATAGCCAGAGGGGGCGTGGGGGCTAGGTGGAGGTAGACAAAGGAGGCGGGAGGGGGTAGTGTAATGGGGTCATTTGTAATAGTATCAGCAATTAAAACAAAAAAAGAGACTGCACATGTTCACCTGGTCTCAGCAATCCACTTACCTAACTCATTTCAGCTCAACAAACACTTATACAAACTTTAGCACCTAATAGGCAAGTAATAAGTGATTGTTAGATGAATAAATACTTATTAATAATACATGCAAGGCTTTACTCTACTGGCACATGCAAAAGCAATACAAGAAGACTTCCCAGAGAGTCCCACGGACTTGTAGTCAGTAGCTGCGGATTTCAATGAGGGTTTGATGTCTCCTGTCGAGACAGAATTGTGTTTCTCTTGTGGAAAAGCTATGAGTATTAACAACAACAAAAAGGAGTCAAAGGCCTGGAGATCCAAAATTTCCCCTGATATTTTAAGATTGACTTTACAGATGCAATTTGGAAAGTTAATATGGATTAGGCTGAGATTTTTAAAGGGGCTTCTTTAATAACATAAGCTTCTTTCAACTCCAGCTGTTCTAATGGCAACTTCCTGTCCACCTGGGAGTCATTATTTTTGAAAGTTGTATTTAAGTTAAATGCCATAATGCCAGTACTAACCGTTTTTGGTAATTAGATATCGTGATTAGATTCTTTTTTAAAATTATGCTTGGATTTTCAATTAAGAAAACCACGGCAAAGTCATAAAATAATAGGTTCATAATAAGTTTCAAAGGTCCGAAAACTTTTACAGACCGGAGTACTGAATTTAAAAAATTGAATTCTGTAGCTTTCATATTAAAAGCAAACAGAAGTTTCCCACATATTTAGATAATTAAGACATTTAGAAATTTGTAAACCAAGCTTTCAATTCTGTAGCCCTTTATAGTATGAAAGTCATGTGTAAATCTGCTGGATTCATTAGCTGGGGATGCTCATTTCGTAGGGCATAAAGCCCTACATATAGCATACGGGTACTTACGAGGCTTGTTTTGTTTCTTAGTTTGTTTTAAACCTCCTCGAAAGTAAAAAGACTGGGGACAGGGAAGAGTTAATTGAGCTCAGCCTGAAAAAACCTTGGTCTGCTCTCCCAAGGGAAACCTTACTCTTAAGTCCCGCCCCCTCCTTGGTCTCAACCCTCCCCCTCCCCCTTCCAGGCGCTCCGACCTGCTTTGAATCCCTGTGCCAGACAGGAGGTTTTCATTCTGTCGTCTTAAACTATTCTATAGTGATTTCATGGGTACTTAGTACAGGTTTGTCTCTGCAGCTTACCTTTCTTGAGGAGAGGGAGCACTTTAAGCTTTACCTCCGTTTTCCCACAGTGTCTTAAACAATGCTGATCACTGAACACCTTCTTTCCAGTACTGTGATGTGTAATTTTACGTGCCAGCTTGGTTAGGCTGTGGTGCCCAATTTGGTCAAACACCAGTCCAGGTGATCCACAGCTCCTAGTCAGCCCCACCATCCCGAGGGTGAACAACCCATACTCTACAATGTAGTATTAAATGCATTTCTACTTACGATATTTTCCATTTATAATGGGTTTATCAGGACACAACCCCATCATAAATTGAGAAACATCTGTAATTTCAAACCTACAGGAATGTTGCAAAAATAATAGTACAAAGAGCCCAGCTGGTGTGGCTCAGAGTTGACCTATGTACCGGGAGGTTACAGTTTGATTCTGGTCAGAACACATGCCCAGGTTGCGGGCTCGATCCCCAGTGGGGAGTGTGCAGGAGGCAGCTGATCAATAATTCTCTCTCATCTTTGATGTTTCTATCTCTCTCTGTCCTCTCTTAAATCAATAAAAATATATTTAGAAAAAAAGAATAGTACAAGGAAAACCCATATAACCCCTACTAGCTTCATCTAGTTTACCCATTTACCACCTGAAGAAAATTTAATACTTATATATCTATTCCATAATGTATATTCAAATTGTATTCCTTGGTCTAATATTGTCTTTTAAGTAATTTTTTTCTCCAGTATTGGATCAGCTATGTCTCTCTTAATCTGGAACATTTCTGCAGCCTGTTTTTGTCTTGTGTGACATAGGTGCCATCAGTTTTGGTGCATAATTTCCAGGGAAATTGATTGTTAGCTAATGCTGGTTTTAATAAAACTTTGACTCAGAGATAAATCAATATAGGATGTAATTTTCCTCCTAGGACTTCGTTAGGATCACCCAGAATTCTGGACACGAACCACACACCCTAATGATGCCTGACTCAATCAGCCGATGGTCCTGTTGGTCTCTAATAGGCTTTCCTGTCTAGGTTTTCCCTTTTGCCCTGGGCACAGTCAATGGCTGAGACAGACTTTGCGTCTGGAGTTCTGTGACTAAGCTTATTCTGAATTAGAGCTGGGTTTCAAATGAGAACCAGATCTGTTTTTCAGTTAATTAATTTATAGCAAAAGAGAAAAAAAACTAAGAGCTTGAGTTTTTAAAAAAATTAATGAGAAGATATTGAAGTGATTTGAAACAGGCTTTTCCCTTCAGCTTTATTTAATATATTTTATAAAAAACAAATATAATTAAGCTAGATTTAGCACATAACAAGTTCTGGCTTTTTTTTTTACAGAGGGGAACATTAGATTAAATTATTCATTTGAAAATATTATTCGATGGAGAAAAATCCATTAGATGCATAAAGACAGATTACATTAAATAGTTAATTGGGAAAAAAGATTCAATCCTGTAATGCAGATAAGAAAAAGTTATTAGTTTTGAAATACGTTTTTATGCAATGTCAGATAATCTAGTTTAAATCACTGTCATGGTACCTTTTGGTCCAAAAATGGATGTCATGCCCTGGCCAGTGTGGCTCAGTTGGTTGGGTGTCATCCCGCGCATCAAAAGGTTGCTGGTTGGATTTCCAGCCCAGATTGTGGCTCAGTCCTGGATCCCTGGTGTGCAGGAGGAGTGCAGGAGGCAGCCAATCAATGTTTTGTTCTTACATTGATTTTTCTCTTTCTCTCTCCCTTCCTTTCTCTCTAAAAATCAATTCTAAAAAAGAGAATACCATTTTAAAACAACTGAATACCATTCTCACTTACAAACCAACTAATTATGGGCCTATAACCCAGGTCAGGAAATTAGTAATAAAATTTATTAGGATAAATTGACTCACTTTCCTAATTCAGTGGATACCTCTTGCTCTGGAAACCCAAATGGACTTAAGCCAAAGGGAAACCTACCAATACCGAGTGTAAAGCATCTGTGATGAAACAAAGGTTTTCAGGCACATTTCTAAAACGTTTTCCGTATTTACCCGACAGGAGCTTAGATGTGATGCAAATGAAAGGCAGTTCTTTTCTGTTTCTGAGAGCTACCCACCTTCCTGGGACACCTTGACGAAGGACAGACACACTTCTTTCTCGTTGTGTAAATGGAATAGATGGTTTCCTTCTGAACGAGTCTGTGCTGGCTGAATGCAGAGCACAGTCATGTCCCGGGGAATAGATTCCGGCCTTTGCCTTCCTGCTTCTTAAAGTGGTTTTCCATCCCTTAATGTACCTAAATGGGATTTGGAGAGGCTGCTGCCCACTTCCTCCCAAAGAGATGGCTCCTCCACTGAGTCATGCAGACACACACACCCCAGCGTCCAGGGCGTTTTCCCTTCTAAGCACAGACAGGGAGGGTCTCATGTTGCCTATAGCGTCAGCAGCTTCCTCCAGTTTCTCAGAGGAGGTGGCTAACTCTGTCTAGGGCCTCCCCGAGGACCCAAGGCGGGTGTCTAAGTACCCTACAGAGGGGGAGGGGAAGTGGGGCCGGGGTGTGTGTGTGTGCGCGCAGTAGGTGTGCAGTGTGCAGGCTGGGTGGGATAGACTGGTGGCAATAGTAAATGGGTCAAGGGTTTGGATTGCCCGAAACAGTATTTCAAGAATTGGGCCTGGTTTTTTAAATCACCATGAATAATTCCTTTTCCAGTCTCCCAAGAGAGCCCAGATATGATCATTTAATTTTCTAGCTTTTAGAAGGTTGTGAACCTGTGGGTTCAATCACTGTTGGATTTTATTTACCAGAACCCCATCAGTTGATTGGATAAATTGTTGGTTACTTTGCCAGTAACTAGAATTCTTGTGGCATTATTGCTTTTGAAAGGCTAAAACTTTTTTTTTAAAATATATTTTATTGAATCTTTTACAGAGAGGAAGGGAGAGAGATAGAGAGCCAGAAACATCTATGAGAGAGAAACACTGATCAGCCACCTCCTGCACACCCCCCACTGGGGATGTGCCCGCAACCAAGGTACATGCTCTTGACCGGAATCGAACCCGGGACCCTTGAGTCCACAGGCTGCCACTCTATCCACTGAGCCAAACCGGTTCTGGCAAGGCTAAAACTTTTAAATGTCCAAGGTTCCTGCCAATCCATGTTAAAGAAAAAAATACTCTGACACCTGTTAAAATGATAAGGAGGACTGTTGTAGAGATTATTGCACTAAAGGAGAGAGATGGGACCCAACTCCAGATACAATAAACACAGTTGGGGATTAATAATTGACAAGTGGAGTGAGGGGCTCAGCAGATGAAAATCAAGGGTGGAAGGCTTGCAAAACCAACTTAACAGGATTCTTACCAAAGGCAGGTCAAAGACATAAACATCAAAGTTGGGGGATGAGGAACTTGATCCCAGCAAGGATGAGGGACAAGATCGATGCCTAGTTGAGAAGAGGGCTCAGAGGAGTCTGTCTAGTTTGGTCAAGAAGAGAGTCTTCGTAATATGTACTAATCTGATTGTCCACTGCGGAGAGGAGATGGGGGGCTCTGGTTCAGTTCATCTGAGAAGGGGGAACGCCCTCTTCAGACTTGAGCTTGGGAGGCAATGCACACAGAGCTGCTATGCATGGGCCCCTGACTTCCTCTCTCTGGAGGGATGGCTGTGAATGCAGGGGGTCGGCAGTTGGGGCTGCAGAGCTTTAGGCCTTTAGTCCACTGTGTCCACCTCCACTCAGTGCAGCCAAACAAAGAGGAAGAGTCACTTTTCATTTCTTTAATGCATTAAAAATATTGGAACTATATATATATATCCTGAAATATATATATATCTCAATGGTGGTGGTGACTTCCCCTCTACTAGGGGGATGAGGCCTGGCCATATGCAGGCCTCTGCCAGTCTGATGGTGCTAGTGTGGTTTGAGGAAACCTAGACCTCGCTAAATTTTTTTAATTTTTGCTGTGTATTCTACATATTGAACTTTCCTCTTAAGGAACACATTTCTTCAGCTTAACTTTTAGAATGCCAGCACACATGGGAAAAATAAAAAATATTAGTCACTTAAATGCCAGTGTGAATTCATTTACAACATTGTTTTCCTCTCAGTTGAACTGAATTGCAGGGTTGGAGAGAAGGAGAGGGAGAGGAAAGGCCACATTCCAAGGAGGGCAGGCCAGGGCGTTACTCTGGACAGCATGAGGCACTAGCACCCTGGATGGACCTAGAAGAGGACCATCGCCCAGAAGGAGAAGTAGGAGGATCTAAAGATAAATTTTGTCTACTCCGCAGCTGTGCCAGGGAGAGGCCCTGGAAGTGAGTATGAGTAATCCATAGATGTGCATGACCATGACCTGGCCCTTTCGTGTTTATTTTAAAGTAGTAGCACATATTTCTCCAGGCCTGGCAACATTTCTTTTAGGTATTGTCAGTCCAATCATTCTTCTAGGGAAAAGTAAAAAGATTTCAATGCTGAAAAACATCTAACGAGCAGATTTTCTTTCTGTGACCCTACCTCATCCTCCTGCGTGCGTGCGCGCGTGCGCGCGCACACACACACACACACACACACACACACAAATTATCTGTTTGGAGGATTTATCATGATTTTATAATGATTCTAATTTGAGTGGATTGCACATACTTATTTATTAGATATATTTAAATAGCAGATATTTGGAATATAGACTATATTGTTGAAGCTGGATACCTCTGATGAGAACTGGATATTTTATTTTATATATTTTTATTTTTTACCCACAACAAGCCATAACTTTGTTTTTTAAATATTTTTTATTGACTTTTCAGAGAGAGCGGAAGGGAGAGGGCAAGAAACATTTATGTGAGAGCCATAACTTTATTAATGATAGAAATATTACAGATTTCACACCAAGCTGCAGTTACTCTTTTGAAACATCAAAAAAAAAACACACAAACAAACCAAAACCATGGTTACAGTGTGAATTTCATAATACCATTCACAATATCATTACTGTTGATCTTCAGGGCTTGGACTGACTTTGCTCTTGACACATTTGCTTGTGACATGAGCAATTCTATGTCCCTAACTACCATACCTGTTTCATCAACCTCTTCCTCTTCACTCTCTTCTTGTACCATTGGAGTCTGTGTGTTTTCCTTGAATGTCTGAGACAGCTTCACCTTGAACTTTGAATTTCTCAGCAGCTGCTAGCAGGACTTGCTGAGATAAATCCTCAATATTGGCTTCCCCCAAAACTACGTAG